AAAATTACAAAACAAATTCACATAATTTAAGAATTAAAAAAAAAAAAAAAAAAAAAGTGCTAAACCCTTAGTGATTTCTGACATTCTTGACGGTTAACGTTAGACAGGTTTAATGAGGGTAATAACTGCGACGGATATATTGGTCGGAACACGTGACTTTTATTAGGCTGATGTCCATTTTTATTCGCATTACACAGTTGATGGAAACACACGCAGAAGTGCATATTCTTCAGCTTTTTTTCATTAATGCAAGATCATACGTGTGATAGTTGATCCATAACATATAGAGAAGGCAATCCCAGAATGCACTGTGATGGAAAAATCTATCCAAGATGGCGAACGAACTGATTTTTCAAAGTTGTAAATTAAACAAAGATTATTGGAGTATATTATAAAAGAAAATACCATTTCAGTCTTTTTACTTAACAGTTTCACCCTGTAATTCAATATGTTACTTGCTGATTCTTTGTACTTGGGTCAAGGACAAAAAGCACCAAAACAAAATTTTTATTTTACAAAAAATAATGACTATCATACATTTTTACCATGATTCACAGAAGGCACCCACTAAAATGTCATTCAGTGTCATATAACAAAAAATTAATCAGGTATATTTAGGACAAGAATCATTAGACGACATAAAAAATCTCTATTTAAGGATCAAAGTGCAACCCTAAAATACTAATCAGTTGTCATTTTCTATATGCAAGCATCAATGTCTTGAACTTGATGCGAGCCCCAACTGGTAGCCATTGCAAGGAGATAAGGAGAGGTGTAACATGTAACATGAGAGGTGTAACATTTACCGCCACCTGCTGGCAGATTTAGTTTCTTATTTAGAGTATCATTTAGGGGGGGGTTATATGGCAAAAATATCATATCACGTTTTTTTTTTTTTTTTCAGGAAAATCACGATTTTATCACGATTATTTGTCATGTTGGTTTTACTATTTTGTAAGTTGTCTGAGCAGTACAAACAAACTAATTTCCCTATTTTAAAAACAAAGCCTTACAGGCAAACAAAATATAAAATAAAAAACAATGGCAGATATTTAGGCCAAAGTGGGTGAAGATAAAAAAAATCACTGTCATTATTTTATCTTTGTTATTAAAAATAAGAATAAAGATACACATTACAAACACACATAATATACAAATAAAACTAACAGTGCTTTATTTTTCAGGGACAGTAGGTGTATTTAGCAGTAGCATTCAAGAAATTGAATGAACAAATAAATAAAACCCTATAAACACTTCACTGTATAAATTACACATTGATTCTTATTAAAGCTACTGTATTGAAGCTTTATTAACATTAAAGGGGTAGTTCAGCCAAAAAATAAAATTCTGTCATTATTTACCCACTCTCATGTTGTCCCAAACTTGTATTAATTTCTTTCATGTGCTGAACACAAAAGAAGATATTTTGAAGAATGCTGGTCCCAAGTGACTTCCACAGTATTTTTTCCCCTGCTATCAAAGTCAGTGGGGACCAGCAACTGTTTGGTTACCCACATTCTTCATAATATCTTCTTTTGTGTTCAGCACAAGAAATTAATTAATACAGGTTTGGAACAACATGAGAGTGAGTAAATAACGACATAATTTAAAGTTTTAGGTGAACTATCCCTTTAATGACAAGTGGCAGCATGTTTAGTACAATTAGTCTGCTGTCACTTTAAGACCAGCACGCTTCTAATATACAGGCACGCAAAAGTTTTGCGAGCGAATGCAATTATCTTTGCGAGAGAACGCAAATGTTTTGTGAGCAAACACAAAGTTTCTTGGGGGAACGCAAAAGTTTTGCGAGAGAACGCAAAAGAATTGAAAAATATTTTTTCATCCCACCCTGTAATTTTCCCACCACCATGTTTCCCACCTCCGTATGAATGTATGTGGCATTGTACAGTATATTAAGATGGAAGCGCCAGAACTGCAACTGATAGAATGTGTACTAGAGCACGATACTACAATATTTCTTCAAAAACAGATCGTAGAGACATTTTAATCATCCACGATCAAAAATTGTGATATTGCACACCCCTGCATTTTTAAGAAGGCCATTTGAGACAAAAGCCTCTGTTTTTCTGACCACTCACATCAATTTATTTGATCATATGAGAACAGATTTATGAAAGCCAAAGGCCCTAGCATTGTGTTTCTAAGAAGAATAAAATAAGGGCTAAATGCATACTCAACATATTTGTGATGGGAACTTGTTAGTTTTTGCTAGCTGGAACGACATTAATGTTAAAAGGTTCATTTTGATCATAGGATATAAAGTCATCATGACCCTCCAAAAAGACATTTTTGTACTTTCTAAATGTATATCCTGATCTTATTGTGCACAGTCCATTTGTGCTTAAGTTTGTGTGTTTAAAATGTAGCTTATTTTACCTTATTGGCTGACTTCTCCTGTGGCGCATAGACGGAAAATTCACAGTAACCAATGGACAATTATCTATTCTGTTGTAGGTCATGCATGCAATCTCGCCAATTAATGATGCCCTGATATTCCAGTAATCAAAACATTTTCTGCCACAAAATGAATTTTGGGTGTTGGCTAGGGCTGGGCGATAAAACGATAATGATAAATATCGCAATATAATTTTTCCTTGATAAAACAATATGAAGAGTTCGATAAATGGTCAATATAATGTTTATTATAATATTTCCGCCAAAAGCAGAAGGAATCAGCACTACTCATTTGAAGCATGCAACACGGATTGTTTATCCGCTCGACTCGGAGTCAAACGGCAGCGCAGTGTGAGCTTACTTCAGCAGATGCTTTTACTCGCTGATGAGTCTCTGTCACACGACTCTAAAGAGCGCTGTGAGATCCAGTGTGAAGTGCTTGAATTCAGAAAAGAACATGGATGACTCTGTGATTTAAACTAGTTTAGAGCCAGATGAAACAGCGCTGACAAACAGCAGAAACACTGTGAGCAACGACAGTCAGAAGACTTTAAATCTACAAATCGCCTTCATTTACCATGTATTTACTGTAGTAACACTGACTGCACCATGGTATTGTGTCAGAAATTAGGGATATTCATATTGAATTTTATTATATTATTAATGTAGGCATGTATTATATATTAAAGGAGTAATGGAATATAATTACAGTATTTCTTTTGATTAAGCTATAGCATTTGTGCATTTATACTAAATGTTTTTTATACAAATCCCTAGAAACCATAGTTACATAGTTCAATTTTTACTATGGTATTGAGGTGCTACTGTATATGTGTGGTTTTAGCTGTAATTATCATGATCTAAAAATACAGTACTATGGAAGACCAATGGTTAATTTTAATAAAACTCAGTCAGAATAATTACACTTCACCATATAAAAATGAGGTTGTTACAATTTTTACAGATGTTGCTGTTTTTGTTAATGAACATAAATTTACATCTGCATCCTAACTCAAGCTACTGTCAAATGTGCATTTCTAAGAGACAAAAAATATAATATTATTAATATTGCAGCCTGCACTGCATACTGTGCTGAAGATACGCACCAGGAACACAAACCTGTTTCATGATTTGAAACAATATCACTCAATAGAACATGCGTCTAGTAAGAAATACATTTTTCCATATTGATATTTATTTTGTTATGGAAGAATGACTGGAAAGTGTAAAAATTCAAAAGCGTGAAGTGTTTGTCATGTTCTGACCATAAAGAGTAGTTTAAAACCACTATTAACAGTCTGATTTCTACAACTTTCACTTAGCAGCAAAAATCTGCCTTTAAACTTGAAAGAAATAAAGATTTGAAATGTATTGTGATAATTATCGATATCGACTGATATGAAAAAATTTATTTTGATAATTTTTTTACCCATATCGCCCAGCCCTAGTTTTGGCCAAAACAATTTCTGAAAATGTCAGAAATCATTGGCCAGAATGGTGCAAATATATACACTATATTACATACTCATTATGTCTTTACTTAACCTGTTGTTTTCAGTATTTAAGTATGATTGAATAAATCTGTCATGAATTTTTTTTTATTACAGCCACCTTTTAAATGTTTATATTTCAGCAATGAATTGGAGTAAAAGTATAATTATGTCATTAAAAAGTTGATAAAACTGCCAATTTAAAATGTACAATTTAAGTTTTTATTTGAGTGGTGATTAAAACATTTGATTAATTAGTTGATTATTAATTAACAGTCTGTTTGGTTTAAATAAATAAATACTTTTAGTGCATCACTATTCCTAGTAATTAACACAATAGCTTAATGTCAGTTAATGTATAATAAAAAGCCTACAGCAGTAATGACAAAAAAATTATAAATTTGAGTAAGATTTGATCAATTCATGTCCTTCACTTACTTTTATTGCATCAAATATTCATTTTTACCTGGAAATGTGTCATGATACAGCAGTAAAATGGATTTTGCACATCATTTCATGTTGATGTTTCATTTTTACTCGGATATTAAGTTTGTTCTCATCCAGAGTCCACACACTTTTATAGTTCATTGTCAGACCGTAGCAAACATACGGCTGAATTTTCCTCCGGTATTGATGGTTTTGGTGTGTTTGGTGTGTATTTGCAGTGCCCCATAACGGTCTGGTGGTTTACTGTGGCACCATAGTGACAGAAGAAGGCAAAGAGAAGAAAGTCAACATCGACTTTGAGCCATTCAAACCCATCAACACCTCTCTGTACCTCTGTGATAACAAGTTCCACACGGAGGTAAAATCACCGTCCAAATCAAACATGCTTCATTGTTTCATAAAGCTCATTATACTTGAGATGCTGTATAATCGTCTGTCTTTATCTAGGCTCTGACAGCGTTATTGTCAGATGACAGTAAGTTTGGATTCATAGTCATTGATGGTAGTGGAGCTCTGTTCGGGACTCTACAGGGAAACACCAGAGAAGTGCTGCACAAATTCACTGTGGACCTGCCCAAAAAACATGGTAATCACTAGGGCTGCCCTCGACGAAAGATTTTTCTAGTCAACTAGTAGTCGTTCATTTTTAGCAATTAATCGACTAATCGTAAGTTTATATTAATAAACCATATAATTCATAATAATGAGCCTTTAATTGCCTATAGCCTATCAGCACTCAAGTGCATGCATAAAACTTGCCCCAGCACACCGGCAGAAGAATGATTATGAATGTGTCAGGGAAAAAAACAGCAAGAAGACTGCCTTTAATTTATTTTAAAATGTATTTTTAAACTAGATGAGACTGTATTTTACTTCTTGCATAAACATTTGAAATCTGGCTATCTTTCTAATTATTACCCTTTTAATTTTAGAATAAATGCATAATTATTGAAATTGTTACTGGACGATAAGGCTAAAATAAAATTCAGTGTCATCTTCACTCAGTTTTTTTTTTCCTGGTGTTTTCTTTTATTAATGTTATTTTATAGAATTAAATGCATATAATTATATAAACATATAATGATTTTCTCTCTCAGGAAGAGGAGGTCAGTCCGCGCTGCGTTTCGCTCGGTTACGGATGGAGAAGAGACATAATTATGTGAGGAAGGTGGCAGAGACAGCCGTGCAGCTCTTCGTATCCAACGATAAAGTCAACGTGGCCGGACTGGTGCTGGCTGGATCTGCAGATTTCAAAACAGAGCTCAGCCAATCAGACATGTTCGACCCGGTAAGAAAGAAAGTGGATTGGTTGGTAGTTGTTGTTGGTCTCTGATTAGTTGAATTCACTTTCTATAAAGTCATTGTTAAGAGAAATATGTAGAAATATTAAGAGAATTATTTTGTTCTGTACATGGTCTATTATTGGAAGTGACTGAATTGCAGTTTCTTTGTGATTGGCTGAAGTCTGACTTTCTAACATCAGTTTGTTGTTTCTGATTGGTTGCAGAGGTTACAGGTGAAAGTGTTGAAGCTGGTCGACATCTCTTACGGAGGAGAAAATGGCTTCAATCAGGCCATCGAACTGTCCACTGAGGTCCTGTCCAACGTCAAATTCATACAGGAGAAAAAATTAATAGGTAGGTAAATGTTAATTCTCACAAAGATGCAATTCTGTATCATATGCATCTCTAACAAGAGCACAGTCTAATTCTGCATTCAGAAATCATTCTATAACCAAACAACCATTTAGCAACACAAGCTTTCCTCGTTCAAACCCCTGAAAAAAAATTCTAATTTCATCAAATTTAATATCTTAAAGGGATAGTTCACCCCAAAATGAAAATTCTTTCATCGTTTACTCACCCTCGAGCCAAGTTTCTTGCTACTGTTGAGCACTAAAGAAGATTTTTGGTTTCCATTTTGTTTCTGGTTCCCATTGTTTTCCATAGTATTTTTTTCCCCCATACAATGGAAGTCAATTGTTTGGTTACCAACATTCTATTTTTGGGTGAACTATGCCTTTAAATACTATTTAAAAAAGTCTTAAAGGGTCATATGACGTTGCTAAAAAGAACATTATTTTGTGTAGTTGGTGTAATGCAATGTTTATGCGGTTTAAGGTTCAAAAAACACATTATTTTCTACATACTGTACATTATTGTTGCTCCTCTATGCCCCGCCTTTCTGAAACGTGTAGATTTTTACAAAGCTCATCGTTCTGAAAATCGAGGTGTGCTCTGATTGGCCAGCTTATCCAGTGCGTAAGCGTGTGACAGAAATGTTACGTCCCTTACCATACTGTTGATGCCGTGTCCCGGTGCGATGAGACAAAAACATTAAAACCCATTATAAACGAGGCATTTGTTGCATCCAGTGGGGACATAATTACGGATTATAATGACTTATACTGTCTTTTTATGCATTGCGTTGCGTGTCGCGCCACGTAAACATAAAACCATTTGTCTGCATTTGTGTTCGGAGAAACGACAAACAACAAGCGCTACTCTACACTGCTCAAAACTCGCGTTTGAATCATCAGTGGCAAATTCTTTAAATATGAAAACATACTTACAGTTTGTAAGTCAGAACAGCCGGAATTGTATGTTCAGGAAACAGTCCTCTGTTAAATGCGTTGCACACACACGAATATTTGGTTTGAAATGTTCTGGAGCAGTTGTAAATACAACTTAACCACTGATTTCTAGTTGTGCCCTCTTTTGGAAGGCCAAACAAAGTAGTTTCGCTTTCACAACGAAACACACAGCATCTCCACGACATGGCAACGGCAACAATACTACAGCGAGAATCAAATGGCGCTTTTCCACTGCATGGTACGGCACGGTACGCTTCACTTTTGGGGGGTTTTCCACTGGGTACAGTATCTGGTACCTGGTACCTTTTTCAGTACCACCTCAGTTGAGGTTCCAAGTGAACCGTACCGTTACCAAAACATGAAGTGTAAACTCTGCACCTTTTTTTAACAACCAAAAAAATAGTTGTTTCGTTGTCTGTTGAGGAAGTACAGACGTTCCTCTCGTTGATAGCAGAGGAGCGGATCCAGCGAGAGCTTGATGGGGTGACGCGGAATGAAAAAAGTTTTTCAGGAGTCAAGGCAGTAGAGGCGGCGCAACTATAACGACATGTGAATAATCTCGCCCACTCTAAAGCAGTACTGAACTGCAGTGGAAACGCAAACCAAGCCGTGCCGTACTGAGCCGTGCCGAGCCGAGTCATACCATGCAGTGGAAAAGCGCCAAAGGTTACTACTCCTTTCTTTGCGTGAACATTTGGACGGTGTTATGCAAATCTTCCCACACAGTGACGTAGACATGTGGAGGCGTGTTTAAATGAGAAGTTTTAGGAGGGCGTGGACGAGTCTTAACTTTTATAAAGAATATCTCTTTGGGTTTGAGACTTTAGTCTTTGCAACTTTAGGGATCTTATCTATATGCACAAACAGCTTGTAACACTAATATACAATGTACAACCTAATATAATTATGTGATCACTACATTCAAAGTCAGAACTTTCAATCAAGTGATCGATTATAATTTACTGTTAATGAGTTATGTGTTTATATTGTAATATGTTGTAGATGGTTGTAAGAGTGCATATTTTATCAGCTGGAAGTAGTAGAACATAGAAATTTCATATTCTTATTTATAATTAAAAGTCCTGCATTATGTATTATGTCCTTTTATGGTTACAATTGGAATTTAATAATACCCATAAAAACAATAATCTTTTTATTGCATATTTTTAAAAACATATTTTTGTATTAACAAAATCCAATATCGATTGACCCCTAATTTGTATGTATTGATACACAATTCAGTACATACTGTATGCACGCTACTAGTCAAAAGAAGTGACTTCTGCTCACCAAGGCTACATTTATTTGATTAAAAATACAGCATATTAGAATGATTTCTGAAGGATCATGTGACTCTGAAGACTGGAGTAATGATGCTGAACATTCAGCTCTGATCACAGGAATAAATTACATTTTATAATGTATTCACATAGAGAGCACTTATATTAAATTGTAATACTGTAATATTTCACATTCTTAATGTATTTTTGATCATATTGTAAATAGGGATGCACCGATATGAACATTTTGGCCAATACCGATAACGGATTATTCTTTATTTTTTGAAAGCCGATAACCGATATGTTGGCCGATAAATCTATATCCAAATTTTTATATACTTTTTGAGAGCCTGATTACAAAAAAGGTCTCATCATTAAAAACCACATCCCGAACACTTCAACATAAGCAGCCTAGTTTGAACGGTGTACGTTTTAAAAATATTTTTACTCTCCCATTACCAAATTTAGTCATAAAAAGTCTTACAAATAAATAAAATTATGCATAAATAATGCAAACAAGTCACTGGACATCATTACACGTGTAAAGAATCAAAATGAATGCGCCATAGATCAATAAAACGGAATATCCTCTGCACGGACAATAATTAAATTATTTTAATTACTAAACCATATTGTTGATGAAAATAATAAGAGAAAAATACAAGTGGTTGTTGTTATTAATAATGTATCAATGATTTTGAAAAAGTAACTAATTAATACCACTGTTTTAAATAGCAGCCGTTGAGCTGCTCGTGCTGAAGCTGAAGAGCTGAATGAACATGGTAAACTGAAGCGTTTTGCTGGCAGCTTATTTAACTCAAGGAAATGCATCCTGAGATTAATATTAATACCACATAAACATAATATTACAACTTATATGTACAAAATGATGCAGTTATTGCGTGCTATATTCAGAATGTGTGATCCTGTTGTGGATGCGCTCTTCCCATATCAACGCACTGAAACGCAGCAACTAAACCCAAAGAATGCACAACGTTTTATTATAATAATGTTCTCATTAGAATGTTATATACACAGCATTCCCAATCATAGTTATTAATGTTGTGCACTGCTGTTTGAGCTGCGTGCGCTGAGCTAAAGACGATCACCGGTAAACTGAAGCGCTCTTTTAACTTAACCAAACGCATTCTATATGAGATAAATCAGATATACATCAAATATATACTGCAAACGAACAAGGCGCATCTGAAGTGTCTCTGAAGGAAATAATGCATTATTTATCGGCTTTAAGATATCGGCCAAATTTTCTTATCAGGCCGATACCGATAACAGAAAAAATGAGCATTTATCGGCCGAGACCGATATGGTGGCCGATATATCGTGCATCCCTAATTGTAAATTTGCTGTTACCCTGTCAGTTGAATGTGTAAAATAAATAAATAAATAAAAACAAAAAAATTCTGAGCTACATAATTTATTTTGAGATTGTATTCGTCCTAAAAAGCCTTAAAATTAACTTTACAAATTCTCCAGATACTCTGTTTTCTTTAGAAATTCTAAAAGCCAATTTAGATTGTCATACATGAGGAACTAAATCAAATGTTTCACTAGTTTGCTAACCTAAATGGAGTTGAAAGCATTAATAGCGGTGTTCTGTGTTTCAGGGCGATACTTCGATGAGATCAGTCAGGACACAGGGAAGTATTGTTTCGGTGTGGACGACACACTGAAGGCGCTGGAAATGGGAGCCGCTGAAATTCTCATCGTCTATGAAAACTTGGAGACGATGAGATACGTCCTGAGATTGCACGGCGCGGAGGTCAACGGCTCAGAGAACGGTAAAGAGACACACACGGGACACGTTTATTAACAACAAGTCTCAGATTCAAGATATTTTCACGTGCCTGTCACCTACTTACAGTGCAGTTCAAATAATTAAATCACATCAGAAATTATTATTCCTGGATTATAATAGAAAGTACTCATATTTCAAGCTTCACATTTTAAATCATGCCAGAAAATATGATATGGACACTTCCGTTCTTATTTCAAAATTGAATTTGAAATTTAAATAAATACTTAAATACTTCAAATTAAATCACATCATAAACTATAATATGGACACTTCCGATCTTATTTGAAATAATTGAATCTAATTAAATCACATCAGAAATTATAATATGGACCATTCCTGTCTTCTGATTTGTCAATCCTGTGTTCCAGTGTAGGGCTGCACGATTAATCGAATGTGATTGTCATGCGCATTTTGTTAAAAAAGCCGGTTCTGTAATCAGCAGGAAATCATCATCACGTGTTTTCACATGGAGCAGAATTTACTACACATAGCCGTAGTTCACTGACAAGTTACGCAAAAAAAAAATCGCAGACGATTTTATTGCGCGATTCTGAAATCGTTTGCGATAATGACAGCTGTTTGCATAGCTTCTCAGTGAACTACGGCTCTGTGAAGTAAATGCTGCTCCATCTGAAAGCATGTGAAAATACCACATTTAATAACATATTTTTACTCCGAACTCACTTCATAACGTCAGTCGAGTGTTTGAAATGAATCCTTCTGTGAGATGATGTGGCTTCTAAGGCACTCAACATATTTCATAGTATTCTAAGCAGTGATAAAGGCATTGCATTATAAATATACTTTATTTTAATGAAAATTATAATAATAAGAACTCCGATAAACCGTATATTGCCGTAGTCGTGTGTTTATTAGTCACGTTGAATCAATGAAAGCAGTTGAATCTTCTGTTTATTCAGCTGCAGCGATAGGCATTTTCTGGGTTTCTTCTGCGAGGCGTATTTGGAGTTTCAGCGCAAGAGCGTGCTCTGGCCTTTGAATTAAGATTTACTGCTGATCACAGAACCACGTTTCACTGAAAGATACGCATGACAATCGCAGCTTCTGTCGAATCGCGATCTTGATTCCATTTCGATTTATCGTGCAGCCCTAGTTCCAGTGACAATATAGTAACAGCTATATATGTGATTATATTCTCTATTCAGTACAGCCTCTTGTGCCTTCAAGTGCTGTGTGTCAGTGTGTTCAGTGTAAACATTCACAGTGTTTCTTTTTTTACTGCAGGATGTTGCTTCAACAGATAGTAAGAGATTAGAGTGCTTCTGTAATGTCTCCTCACTGCTGTGTGTTTCAGATGAGAAAGTCCTTTATTTGTCCCCAGAACAAGAGAAGGACAAATCGCACTTCATAGACAAAGAGGTGTGTGTGTGTGTGTGTGTATGTGTATCTGTGTCAAAAGTTTGTGTTTGTCCAGTTACATTTTTATAGTTTTATTCACATTTTAAATTGGCTTCTATGTTCATATTTGTAGTTTTCACTTTGTGACTAAACCAGTTACATTTTTAGTAATTTTGTTGCTTTTGGCATTTTTATTATTACTATTTAGATTTTTGTAAAAAAAAAAATGTTATATATATTTTATATATTACAGTTTTAGTTCTTATTCATTTTCAATGTGTTATTAATCTTTAGTTCTTTTTAGTTCTCAATGTTTTTTTTCTGGCAGATTTGGCTTTTCTATTACATGTGCAGATTTGGTTAGGATAGCTGGATTGAGTCTTTGTTACTTTTTTTTACATTTTGTAAATTCTACTTGTGAAGAATTTTGGTCAACTTTGTAGTTTTTAAATGTGTTATAAATAAAACTGAGATGTTGAATTGAGTTGAAGATAAAAGGGAATTTTTTTTTTTTTTTTTTTTTTTGAAAAGTACACACATATTATGAATACTATTAATCTCAGTTCCCCTGAGATTAAAAATTAGTATTTCAATCATTTCTATGATAGCATGTATGTATGTATGTATGTATGCATGTATGTATGTATGTGTTCATCTTTTTACATTTGTAAAGAAAAGTCCTCAAATGAAGATATGCAGTAATTTGCAGATCATTTGAATTATATGCACACCATGCAGTTCATTATCATAACACTTTTACACAGTTGACAGCCCTGGTCATTTCTGACAGGTGTAATGTTTGATTGTGTGTTTGTTGTGTTGTTGTGCGGGTCAGACGGGTCAGGAACACGAGCTCATCGAGTGCGTGCCGCTGCTGGAGTGGTTCGCCAACAGCTATAAGAAGTTTGGAGCGGCTCTGGAGATAGTGACGGATAAAAGTCAAGAGGGATCGCAGTTCGTCAAGGGTTTCGGAGGAATCGGAGGTGAGCGGACGCTGAATCTAGATTTGTTTATAAACGGAAAATGATCCAAATGTTGATATACAATCTTATTATTGTTATTTTATTAAATTTCTTTTTACCAAAATGTGTCTCTCTATTAGGTATTTTGCGGTACCGAGTGGATTTCCAGGGGTTGGATTACCAGGAAGATGAGGAGTTTTTTGATTTGGATGACTACTAGGTAGTCAAGAATGAGCTAGAGAGAAATCAATGAAGATTTGAGGAATTATGGAATGAGAAAAAAATGGTTCTTTCTCACCAAAAAAAAAATAAAAAAACCAGTTTGAGAAGTGTGTCCTTTGTCAGTCAAATGAAGGACAGAGCCGTTCATGAATAATTAAACAGCCCTGCCTTTAGAGCGTTCTGATTGGACAAGACTCATTTGTTTATTCTCTTCCTCTGTTTGAATTAAAGTCGCTGGAACCTTCAGATTGTTTTGAAATAAGTTTATTTTTCTTTTTATCCTCTGTTCCCTGTTTTTCTTCTCCCTACTTTTTCCACCATAAATCCACCACTAGTTCTCTTCCTTTAGTTCTCTTAATTTTTTTTTTTTAAATTGGCAATTGCTGCTGCTGTATTTTATGACAGTGTGGTATTTTTTACATGGGTTTCTGTAATGAATAGGGGGAAAATAAAATTAATTTGAAAATGCTGAAACCTGCTGCCTTCTATTGGTGTTTTACCGATGTGTGCTCTGTATATTCCCCAAAAATGTGCCGTTCATATCTGAAATCTTATTTTGTGGTTCTAGATTTTTACATTTGAGCATTTTTAGAATAATTATTTTGCTGTATCGTACTATATGAACACTACTGCAAAAAACGTTTTTCCTTATTCTTTTTATTACACCAGTTAAGAAATATAGTGAATATTAGTCAATTTTAAATCAATGTACAGGTTTTTATAACGTACAGATTTTTATAAGGCTTTTGAAATCAAAATTGACAGGTGTCTGGAAAAGTTTCGAGAAAAATTCTAAAAATAAATTAATACAAATATTAATTACAATAAATCATTTTACTTAAAGAAATAAAAGTATTGTCAATCAAATTTGATTAAATAATACATCTAACATTACTATAGGGATTATTAAATCTTAAAAATATATTGTAATGGAAGATAATTTTTCCAATTTTCAAAATCCATAATATTTTTCATATTTATAGTATTTTTCACATTATAAATTTAGTTAAAAAAATTTTTTTTTTAATATATATATATAT